ATTCAAGAGATGTAATAACCCCCCCCCTCCCCCCCCCCCCCCAAAAAAAAAACGTAGAGCAGATAGAGGAATATAATTTCTGTGGCAACTGAAAGTGATTGAAAGAACAGCTCTGCATGAGAAGCAGACAAACCCCAGTCATATAAGAAATACAAGAAATCTAATTTCACAGGCACCAGTTCTGAAGGAAAAAGACCAACAAGGTTGGTATAATGCCAGGGAAGAACATCTACAAAGTACTGAATAATAGCCAATTTTTAAACTGTAGTCAACAAACATTATTGTGAAAAACGTCCCCCAAAAGTAATGGAATGGGATCCCTTTTAGAGAAATAAAAGGAGTGGAATCCATGGTAGAGCATGTCAGCAAGAAGCAATAAGAGAAACTGGACAATAGGATCAGTTGGATCTTGGCCAACACCAAAGAAAAAAGATGACAAAGAGAGTAAGGATAGAAGAAAAATTCTCACAAGCCATGCTAAAAGTACCAACTGCTAGAAGCTGGACCCTGATATGGAAATTGATAAAGTATCTGAAGATGATGCATTGCTACCACAAATGCATCAACCAAACCATTGTCACAACCAATGAAATACCAGCTCAGAGAGACACAATGTTAATGTAGCCAAAAGTGTAGGGAAGGGAAACCACAGTAAACAAAGGCTGTGAGATTGAGTCCCACTCTGCCTGTTGATATATGTTACAACATTTGAAGTGTCTGTAAGCACTAATACATGGTTGTGTATAAACAAGGTTGGGATCTCATTACATGGAACAACCAAAATCTCCAACAGAATGATGTGGAATGGGATATACGAGTAGGCTACGGGAAGATATTGTTCACCAACACATGACTCTAACTTGAAGAAATGCACTGATAAAAAGATCCAGAAGAAGTAGAAACTCAAGAATGAGCCATACTTGAATCTAACTGAGAATAGTAGAAGTTCTGATAAATAACAGGTCCAAGAAGCAGAAGCAAGATCCCATTGACATTATCTTAAGTAAGCATGATCCATGGGATTTGCCAAGTAAAGAGAAGCCATTGTTCCCAAATCAGAGAGGATGCATTTGGCAAATGTAGTATGCACACCCAAAACTTGTGAAGTGTTTCTGGGAAAGTGTTTGAATGAAATCTCAGATGGACGAGATATTAAGCCTAGAAAAAAATGCTTTGTTTCCTATTACATGCTGAAAAAAATAGTGTAGGTAGGTAGACATTTCTTTTTTTTTTACAATTTTTTTTTATGTCCTCAAAAATAGGGTAGGTAGGCAGAATACTGGGCTGATTGGATTTTGTCACTCTATCCTTTGCTCTACTGGAACTTTCAGTTTCCACAGAGCATTTTGGTTTAGGCCTACAGTGAAATTCAATTGATTTGACATTGAATATGTCTACTAATTAGTCTATCCCAACGTCCATTGAAACTTTGCCAAGATCAACATGTGTTGATGTCTGCTCATAATCACTTGAATCTAGTTTAGGATGGTATGACTCAAACACGTCTTTGATTGTTCTAGTAAGCTGTGATACTTTTTTTTAGGAAAACGTGGCCATTTGTTAAAGACAACAGCCAATATTCTAGCCACTATGATGAAATGTTTGACATTGCCTGAATGGGAAGCTCAACTATAATTGGCTAAGAACATTGCCACACCACACCAACTAATGAATCAGAAACATGGTTTCTTATGACCTTCACCTTGCACAATATGATAATTTAATGAAAATAGAAAATTAATTGAAGGGCATTTTTATTAGGGTTGGTCAGGAGATGAATTTTTTTGGGGAGGGAAGCATTGCAAAAACTTTAGTGTCAGGCATTTTTGCATAGGGTCGGCCATGTAACCGGATATAAAGCTTTTTTTTTTTCTAGACCTAAGCATAATCTGAGACTCGGATTCAAGAGCAATACATCCCAGAGAAGATAACTGGGAGGCCAATTTAGTATGAAGCAACTGCTGAGTGAGAATCCATTAATCACCCATGCAGTGATGACAATTGATATTGAGTGTGTGTGCAAGACCATTTATTGGTATGGCTTTAAGTGCCAAGATGTGGAATACCGAAGTCAGACCAAAGAGGGGAGGTTATAAACTGATAACTTGCCCCATGAAAAATTAAGAAAGGTGAATCAGTGTCTTTGAAATCCCCATCAAACATTCAAAAACCTTGACAAAGGAGCTTTCATAAGATTCTCGATAGAAAGGAATATCTAGATAATCCAATGAAAAAGAACTAAGACCAGTTCACAATATTTTGTTAGTCTATAGCCCCACAAAAAGATGAGAGTAAAAATCCCAAGGAAACACTAAGTATAATATCAATATTTTTTTGTTTTGGAAAAGATTTGAAACTGACACATTCAAAACTGAATAGAAACAGTATTGCTGAACCATGTATTAGTGGAAAGTGGCTTTCACCTGTTTCTAATTAAAAAGTAGGTTAAACATTTTTTTTTTTACATCTTAAAATTCATCTTCAACATTTGCCAATTTCTACACTGAAACAATTCAGTCTTCATTCTTTACACTTCAATGACTCACTGTCAACTAGATCTCAGTGTTCCTCAGGTTATTGTGGTTGCAACTTATCTGTGTGTAACCATTTACTTGAGAATACCACATAGAAAATTGAAGTGAAGAATCATAAACCCAAGTAACACAAAATGAATGGTTTGTAGATGAACAGAAATCTGAGGTGACCTCCAAAAGTCAGAATGGAGAGAGAAGTCACTCAGAACATAGTCAGTGAGTGACTCATAAGGACCACTTTGCTTACATTGGTAAAACCCTAACCAACTCCAAATGGCAAGCAACCCTGGAACAGGTAAAAAAAAAAATATGGAAGTCAACTGATTTAAAGACGAGACCTTGCAATACAACCAGACAACAAGTGTCAAGGGAACATAGAAGCCATGTGGTAAAAGAAATAATATCAGTGAGCTGTAGGTATAAAGGACATCAAAGTAATATGTGTTCATGTTAAAATAACCAGGAAAATGGTAATAGAATAAATAAAAAGTTGGAAAAAATATTAACCAACAAGATTCTGTCTGATAGAAGTATTTAAGGAAATATTTTGCCATAAAAAATATTGTACCAAGATACTTAACACCATAGTAGTTGAATACATATCAATTTGCAAACCCATGATGCTGTTAAATTGTGTTATAATGTCTTGTCATAGTACTTCATCAGTTACGTTTGACTTTCTACTCATGTATATGGCAGAACACATTAAAAGGAATGTGTTCTTTAAATACAATGAATGCTTCTTATTTTCTTTTGATCTAGGCCATCACAAAGCATTTGTAAACAGTTCTTATTTCATCCTTCGTTAATTTGGTCAGATTTTCACATTTACCGCTGTAGTAAGCTTTGCATAACTTACTAGAAAATATACAACAACAAATATACATGTTGGAGTTCACAGGACACATGGATTAAAAAAAGTTTCGAGAAACAATATATTTGGTAGCATAATACTGGTACTTGCCTTTCATTTGGAGGTAGACAGTGCATTCTGAAAGAAACAAATAATAAACATTGTTTTTTTTTACAGTACATAACTATTAAACTTGGGTTGGTGAAAGCAAAAGTATAGCGGGGTTAATATTTCCAGTAGAAAACCCAATTTAAGCTGTACTATAGTAGTTATAAAAATATATCTATTTTTTTTATTCCAGTACAGTAATTTTTGTATAAGTTCATTTGGTAAGATAAAGGAGACAAAGTTTTAGAATGTTTCATTATAAATTTTTCACAATTCTTCTTAGTTAACTGTTTGATATGTACCTGATTTTTGTGTGTCAATGATGCAAATTTTTTGTACTGCAAGCGAGGGGTTCTGAAACGGTTTGAAATCAGAAAATGATTATGTATTTTTTCTTTTATAATGATATGTTTTCATCTGTAAAGAAACATTCTTGATTAATTTTATAAAAAGAAAGAATTTTACCCAATTCACCCAGGATATAGAAGTTTCACTTCTACTGTTACTTTAGTTTTAAATAAAATATCAAATATAAGTCCTTAACTAAAGTACAAGAGTTTATTTCCACTTTGATGAACATGTTTGTCTTTAATTTAGTTTCTTATTTTCGTTTAGGTTGGGATGAAGGATGTTTGACGATGCAAAAAGGTGAAACTTCCAGATTCACTATCAGATCAGACAAAAGTTATGGACCAAATGGGTTTCCTGCATGGGGATATCCTTTTTTTTTTCTAATTTTCTCAAAAAAAAATTTTAATATTTTTACACTTTGATCAAGTTTCTTGTTTATGCAGAATTCTGCATTTTTCATGTAGGTTTTCAATTCAAACTGCAGACCTGCATACTTGTGAAAATGTAGTTTAATACCTCATTAAGCAGTTCTGACATTCCAAAAACCACGACAGTATTTCGTATATCCTTTGCAATAACTAAGAATATGTTGCACATGATTATGTATGAGATATGGCATAATCTGATTGGCTAAAACTATATAGCATGCATGAGCTATGTGGTTTATATGGTAAGTAGTACAAGTGCACATATGCCACAGGATTTATTTTTCTCATATTCAAAGATTATTTTGAAAAAAATCGGTATATTTTACTCCTAAATGACCAGAACCACCACAGAAAAAACAAAGTATTGTCTGGTCCAGATGAAATGCCTTTAAATTTGCCTAAGTCTGACATCAGCTTAGCAACAAAAGCCAAACCCATGTTTCAGTTTCATGTAAAATTGAGCCACAATTGTTTGTGACTTCACCACAAATATTCAAATGACAGGATCACAATTTATTGTTCTGTATGTGAAAAAGCAGTAAAGAAAAATGTATTCACCAGAGGATGCATGAAACTTTGATGCAGAGCTTTGGTTTGATGTGCTGGTAAAAACAATTATAAACAAGCAAAAGAAAACAAGTAAGGTTATGTGCAGGGTGGGAATTTCATAGTGAGGAGCTGGTAAGTTCATCTTCTGAAAGGGCTTACCAGTCCATAAAAGTTTTCAAACTTTGGTAAATACAAGATGTGGTATGGTAAACATATTTGTTTGGGTACACAAATATGCTATAGACTTGAAGGCATATAAATTATCGTTTTTATTTACTGATTTGTTTCAGTGAAATGTTGTATGTTAATCTGTTTCTTTGCAAAACTCATCATTATTTAAGTTTACTTCTTGTCACATTTAATGTAGTGTTACCTTGAAAACACCACAATTTGAGATTTTAATTTGAACCTGCACATTGCTGTCTCAGAACTTCAGAAGATATAAATTAATGACGTTATCGATCCATATCAAGAGATATATGGCACTAATGCTACAGCTAAACAATTCAAATGCAATAAAACTAAGAAAGCCAAGGGATTAGGAATGTCAACATCTCATTTATTATTTGCAAACTTATGGATAATAATTGTTGAATCACTAAAACAGTCATCGGTTTGAGAGAGATTTCTGTATATACAAAATTTTTCTTTCACGTTTCAACTTGTGCACAATATTTTTACAAATTTGCAGTTATGATTCAGAACTGTGCTTTCCTAAACAATATTGTGCATTTAAGTTAAAACTACTTTAAATGCTCTTTCATAAGCATACAGTACTGAAACTTAACTTAGGTCAAGCTTAAAAATAGTTTTGTTTGCTGTAACCCTAAACTGATTTAAAATATGGGTAAGTAGGTAGGTAAATTATTACTATTATTTTTCAAACTGCTTTGCAAAGAAATTTTGGGAATAACACTAGTTCCATGATCACCTAAAACATATGCATTAAACCATGAATACAATTACTCTCAAGAGAATTACAGAAATTTAAAATTCTTTCATAACACACACTTGCTGGTCGATATCGTCCTTGATCCACTAAGTTGAATTGACTGTCATTTGTTCTTCTGTTTCATCTCATTTGTCCAGTAAATCTACAAGTACTTTCCTTCACATGGATAAGTTTCCAATCAGAATTAATATGTTTTTGATCCTAATCCACCAGAACATTTTTCAGAAATGGATACACTGAACAGACTTGTGTTTGCCATGTTGTTGATGTATGCTCTTCAGTAGTAAATTCGCCCCTGCTAGGTCGTGTATTTATTAGTTTAGCATGAAGGGTCCTGAGGATGAGATAAGCCATGTTGTCAAACCTCAATACATTGAAATTAAAGAATAGGTTGAACAACTGCCAAGTTTTTGTGATATTTTAATTTAAAGAAGGATAATGTTTTGAACTAGTGCTCTTTGTCAGATCGTACAGCTTACAACAGCTATACACTCTTTACAGCTAAACTTACAAACACACAGTCTAGATCTTTTTGACTATATCACTCACTAACTTTGTCTTACTATGATTACATTTTGGACACATGTTTATAAATAGCAACTAAGGCCCAGAACTTTACACACATTATGAGATATTATGATGTATTAATACTCAAGAAAAAATTAGAATGTTCTGAAACATCAGATCTTCAGATCTGACTCTAATTTCCAGGGGTATCTTTCAGAGGGTACTTCTGCCACTCTCTCACACAGGTCGAGCCACCTAATCAGTGTGGGATTTTAGTTAATCTTGTAAGTGGAGGGAAGTACCGTATCAGAAGTTATAATTTTCTTATACTGAAAATGTATTTCCTATAGGTACTTCCCTCCTCCACATTTTCCTCCAGTTCGGTAGAGGCGTATAGAGGGAGTCACATGCATCACGTATGTCATGCTCCTATTGGTGGAGAAATGACTCGTGATGATTTACATGAGAGATATAGTGGAATTTTTTTTTTCTAATGGTGGGAGCAGAAGGAATGTGGCATGTGTAAAGAAATACTTTGCATATAGAGGGCAGCACTGGACGGGAATAGCTAATCTTGTGAGAAAAGGGAAGCTCCTATCAAACATACATTTTCAGTATAGGAAAATTATAACTTTAGGACTTTTTTGTGATATCTGGGTGATCAGTTCAATGGATCCTCATTATTATCAAAATTTTATGCCACTGTGAACAACCACGTACGTCTACTCTCAGGTATTCAAACTGGTACGGTACCTAATGAATTTCTGTAGTACCAAGAATTACTGGGGTGCACTTTTCTGGTATGCCTACAGTTCCAGTTGGTCCACTAGAGAACTGCAAAATTCCCACCCTGGTCATGTGAAAATGCTCTGAGAATGAATGAAATCATTGGAATGCTGCTTATATGCTATGGCATGGTGAAGCAAAAATGTCCTGATAATCATGTTCCAATCTTGATAGAATTTCTAGATAAAAATGGATTCCAAGCATTGCAAGGAGAATTTTAAACTTATCACCAGAGTATTAATGATTTGGAAAAAGCCCTTGCACAGACATCGGAGGAATATAATATGTGAGAAATCAACACCAGTCCACTGATGAAGCAGTAAAGCTGATCATCTTTGTGGGAATTGTTTGAGATAGAACTATTGTGATGACTCGAAAAAAAAAAAAAGAAGACGATTCCTGTGCAACTGAAGGGGATTGTACCCATTCTTTGCACATCTGCATTGCTGTACTCGTCATTTGGCACTAGGAGCTACTGTTAGGAATGTATTTTGCAGATCAGTAATTACAGAATTAACATTAATATTATTTACCATTATTTTTGACTGTTTGGTACAAACAACTTACATCTAAAGAAGGTGCTCAGTAATGAAGACTTTTTCACTGAAAATGCCATACTCTGTCAATTGACTATCTTTGCACAAAGCAGATAAAGCAGTTCACCATAACTGGCCCATCTTGTGCTTAGAACAAGAAGAGGACCTTTCACAGAAAGTGAAATCTTTTCCATTTATTACAGTCATGTGCTTCCCATTGAAAGTGTTGCTAGTACTGGACAGAATATCACTCGCATTCCAGAAGAAAAATATTTTTTTCAACTATTCAATCAGTGGTAATATCGACGTAAGATGTTATTGATCAACTCATTGTAATCCCCAATAAAATCGAAGAACAGTTTCTTTCCAAATTTCCATAGGACAGATGAGAGGTTTCACTTATTCATCCTTCATGAATAGGAGAAGATTGGTCAGCAATTTCCATGTGATCTGACCAGCTCTTTTTTTCAATGACAGAATGCTATGATAGTACTCTTTCTTAATGACAATGCCACACTCTGATTGCTTGGAGTCAGTGAAATACAAGCTGTTGGAGAAAACTGAACCTCCCCATAAGAAGAAGTCACTCTCAAGTGGAAACTGTGCTTCATATGCGTGTCACCTGCTAATGACAGATGATTCTGGCTACTTCCTGTCTTTTGCTAATCTTGCAGTGGTCATGACTGTGATTTCTGTTATAAATGAACAAAGATTCAGTTGTTGAAATCAAGTTAAACAAAGAAGTTCATTCTATGAGAAGAAAGTGGAGAGATTTATGTTTTTTTATAACAGAAGGCCTGATTAACTGTTCCACATTCGGCAAGTGAAAGAAGAGAATATATTCCCTCTGTTTGTAAAGTTGGGTACTAGCAGGAGGTGGGAGCTGCACATTTATTTTATATTTTATACTTCTTTAATTTGTATGTGTTGTAAAATGCAAAAAGTCTAAAAAGAATTTTATCTCTCACCAGTTTCACAATTATGGATGCTCTTCAGCATAAAAATTATAAAACAAAACCCAAAACACACATCCATAAAAGAACAAAACTGTATGTAGAATGAATTTAAGCAGTAAAACATTTTTTGATATCTCCTGCTAACTGATCATGCATTGTCAGATGAGACATTGTATTAGGTCGTCAAGAAATTAATGTCGCTTTTTGGAACACTTTCATTAACCACCCCCAAAAAACGTTTATCACGTATATTAGTTAAATGAACCGCCTAAACGACAGATTAATGTAGCCTATATAATGTGTGAAGTTTGGTATACTCTAATCCTTATAGTGATGGCACACGATGAAACACACATTTGACATGTAATGCTGTTTGAATAAATGAAGAGAAACAATGCCTCTGTAGTCACAACGAATATCAAAGAAGTTTATGGAAATGTTTTGAACAATGGTTCAGCAAATTTCATTCAAGTGACTTTAGCCTTAAAAACTGTGATGGTAGGAGCCGACATGTTGGAATTGATATTGATGCTC